AGCACAGGGGAGGCGGCCTCGAGCCAGCAGGGCGGGCAGCAGCCCAGGCGGCCCCGGGAGGGCTCTGGGTGCGGGTGGTGAGGTAGCAGCCTGTTCTTGGAGAGCTGCGCCTGCTCTATTAATTCGGACCCTGGGGGTGGCGAGTGATTTCCCCAGGGGTCTCCTCAGCCTTGGAAACCTCCCCGTGGCGCTCGGCTAGTAAAATCACGGAGGTCTGGCTGGGGAATCAACAAGACGGGGCTGCTGGGCTGCCGCCAGCCTGGCCGGGCAGCCGCAAGATCTTGTTTGCGAAACGGGGTCCCAGTGGCTACCTTCCCTGGGGGTGCGGGCGGGGAGCCCCCCTTTCTCCCCCCACACAGCTGCCCTCCTGGCAGAGTTCGGTGGGGCGATGAGCGCAGGGTGGGCTCTGTCTGCTCGCACGAAAGCGCCGTGAACGCCAGGCTGGGGAGCTCAAGGGGGAGAGCTGAGGGGTGGGGGTGGGGGACGCTCATGCTGGCACGCACCCTGGGCACCCTCCTCTCTCCTGACACCCAGTCACCATGCAGTCCAGGCATGTCCTCTGGTGGTAGGGCGGGGTCTCTGGTCACTCACCATCAACACCATTTTATGTCACTTGGGGCTGGGTGTGGGGGAAAGGGGTGGAGTTGGGAGGTGCTGCAGACCATGGGGAGCCGGGGATCTTACACGACACATGCCTTAATCCTGAGCTACCTTTCCAGTCCTTAGTTTAGTTTCGTTTTGGAGCCATACCCAGCCGTGCTCAGGGCTCACGCCTGGCACTGCACTCGTGGATCACTCCTGAAGGGCTCAGGAGGTCCTATGGGATTGAACGTGGGTCAGCTGCATGCAAGGCAAGCGCCCTACCCGACCTCTCTGCCCACCTGTTATTTTTGAAAGTGGTCTGAAAGCTAGCTTGCTCCTTTGTTTTCTTTTCTGGGGCCACACTGCCTGTGCTCGAAGTCTGCTCCCAGTTTGGTGCTCAGGGGACCATCAGGTGCAGAAGCTCAAACCCAGGTTTCCTACATGTCAAGCCTGTGCTCCTGTCTTCGGAACCAAGCATGGGCCGAACACCAGGCCACGGGGTTTCATCTATTCGGCAGAGGGACACACTGTCTCACCCTTTTCATCATTTTCCAGGAAACATGCTGCATATATAATGCAAAATGGGCTCATTAGCCTGTAGTGCTTGGCTACAGTTTTTTTTAATCTTTTTATTTATTTTTTTTTAATGTAGGGGCCACACATCATGTGCTCAGGCAGCTGTGTAGCATCAGGGATCAAGCCGAGAACCTCAGACGTACCAGGCTTGTGCTCTGCCACCGAAACTTCAGCCCCAGTTGATGTTTAAAAACTATTATAATACATGTTAGACATTTCCCCAGGAGACAAAAAGCCCTACCCTACTCTTAATGGTTGTATAATATTCCACCCTGGAGCTCAGCAATGCTTCCCCCCTCTTCCCTAGAGACATGTGTGTTGCCTACATTGTCAGCGTTCAACAAACTTGGTACTAAACCCCTGTTCACATGGAACTTTGCACATGTGTAGCTGAGCCCGCCTAGTAGCCACACTATATTTTTGCCACGTTATCTTTTGCTTTGTTTTGGCTTCAGGGCCATCATCCTTCCTGCCTAGAAAAAGTTTATGGGCTGCAGCATACAGGAAGGAGGCAGTTGGTCATAACCAGCAGCCCGCAGTCCACTGACTGTCAGTTCTGTAGCTCCCCAAGCTGACACTGGCCACACAGAGCTCTCTCCCCACCCAGCCCCCCCCCCCCCACACACACACACTCCTTCCCCCGAAGACACGGCCATGTAACTCTGGTGAGCATAAGGCATTTGAAAATGGGACCATGTCTCCCCCTCCCCGTTAGGTGACAGAACCGGGTGCAGACAGGAATTGGGGCTCCAACAGGACCTGGCTTGGATGGTTTGGTGGAAACCTGACCTGGGGCCAGTAACACTCACTGGGCAGGTCAGCGACTCCCCAGCCTTCTTCCTCAAGGGAAATGGAAGGAGACCCACAGCTGATTTCTTTGTTAAAACCTGAAGAACTTACATGGGGTGTGAGGCTCTGAACGCCGGGTGACAGCCTTTGAGACAGAGCACCCCGTCTCGTTCTCTGGCTACTCCCCACTGGCCAGCTATTTTATTTTGGGGGTACGCCCAGCTGTGCTCAGGGCTTGGAGGACCATAGAAGGTGCCAGTGAATGAACGTGGGCTGATCACATGCAAGGTGAGTCCTACACAGGCCCCCGGCCCCAGGCATTTCATTTCCCCCGCAGCATCGTGGGCCATCCCGTTCTCCGGTTCTGCGCAGAGCCGGCCAACTAGGACCCCGTGTCTAGGACCAGGCTCCCTTGGGGCGGGAGGGGGCTGCTTTCTGTGGTTCTGAGGGTTCGAGGTTGGGGGAGCCTATGCTTTCAGCTGAGACCACAGTTTGGGTTCCTTGCAGACCATCTCTGACCCCGGCTAGACCAGGAACCCAGAGGCTGGGCTGGTCAGAAGCTCATGCTGGCAGGGGCGCTGGGGGGGGGGGGGGGAGCAGGGAGATCTGGGCTGGGCCATCCTCTGCCACCTCTGTCTGGCCGAGAGAAGGTTCTGGCGAGAAGCTCCAGGAGGCAGCAGCTGCGTGGGCACTGTGGGGCCCTGGCAGGGTCGCTGCAGGGTGGGGGGAGCAGGCGCACTGTGCACCAGCCTCAGTCCACCCTCCAGAGACCCCTCCCCAGCTGGGGTGAAGGAGAGTGGGCCGAGGGGGTCCTAGGGACTGGGAAACGCCTTTCCTGCCCTCCACCCGGCCTTGCTGTGTGACCTCATGAAGGAGCAGGACCTCTCTGTGCCCTGATGCCCCTCTCTCCCCGGGAAAAGCACAGCGGGTGATGAGCGCACCCCCTCCAGGAAGGGGCTGGGTTGGGGTGAGAAGTCAGAATCCAGGGCTCCACCTGCGTCTGTTTACCAGGGCACCAGGAGTGTGGGGGCGGGGCTCGCTCCCAGGGGGTTGCTGTTAATTGGCCCCTAGGAGCGCACCCCTGGGACCTGGTGAGCAGCTTTTGTGGGAGGAGGGGCCGTGAGTGGCGGGAGGAGGCTATGGTGGGAGAAAGCCTGAGAGGAGCTGAGGCAGAGAGGGCAAAGGGCCGGGGGTCACGGGGGCCGGGGAGCAGCCTGGGTGGGTGCCTCCCGCCACCACTGCGCCCTCGCCCGCTTTTCTGGACTCCCTTGTACCATCCCAGCACTGAAGGTCGTCCCCCCCCCCCCCCCGCCCCGCCCATGCCCCGCCCTGAGCACCTCTCTGAGACCAGGGCAGGCAGTGGGGCCCCGGGGCAGGCAGCATGGAGCACGGGGTGGGGGGCTTCCCAGAGCTCCAACTAAGCCACCTTCAGCCACTCCTGCACCCCTGGGGTCGGAGGGCTGTGGGCTGGCCCGGGGGGCCTTTCCGTGGGCTGCCTAGGACCTTCGTGGTGGAAACCACCTCCTTCCCTCCCAAGTCAGCACCCAGGGACCATAGAGGGGGGCATGCCTGTTGGCCCAGGAGCCCGGTCCAGGGTTCCCTCAGCAGAGGTGCAGCACTGCCTCCTCAGGTGGGGGGCGGAGGAAGGTGCGGGCGAGTCCTGAGCCGTAGAGTCCCAGACCAGCCTGGGTATCGGCCCGGCTTCCCAAGGCGCGATGGGGCGTCCCCATTAATTCTGGGCAGGACGGAGCTGCCACCGAGGCCTGCTTCTAGCTGACTCATCTGGCAGGAGGCGAGAGGTATAACCTTGGGCCCTCGGCACTTTCCTTGAGCCCTGCCGCTCTGATGCAGACGCCCTGGCAGGACCATGCTGCCGAGCGCCCCCGTCCCACCCCCCGACGCTGCGCTCAACGCACCAGCAAGTACCGGCCTCTTTCTCCCCATTTTACAGATGCGCCAGCTGCCCCCTCCCCCAGCGATTCCTGGGCAGTCGCTCTAGGCACCCTCCAAAGCCATCCAAGGCACCCATTTCCCCGTGCCTCTGATGGCAACACAAGCAACTTCATTCCTACCCACCCCATTATTAACCCCTGCCTGTCCCAGGGTGCTGTTAGCCCTGCTAGCTGGAGAAGGAACTGAGGGAGTTAAAACCTTCTCAACCCCAGGTAAACACCGCTACCATGATGCCCACCGAGTCAAGCCTCCGGGGAGATCAAAGGACTCCCCCGTTTTAGGGGGAGAGGATAAACATCTCTAAGGGGATGCAGAAGCCTCAAGGGGGGGTGTCCGAGTCTTGGAATCCCAGTGCTCGGCCACCTGCAGAGGTCTCCCAGGCCAGCCCTTGATTGGGGGTGACTCACTGCAGGACCACCCTGAACAGGGCCGGCCATGTCGCCTCCACCCACCTCCACAGCCGAGCAGTCAGCGGAGCACCCAGCATTATCACGGCGGGGAACATGCCAGCCTGGCACCCGGCCCTGCCCCTGCCGCCCTCACGGCTGAATCTGTGTGGTATTGGGGGTGGGGGGGGAAGGGCTGAGGAGGCCCCGGGGAGATCCTGACACCCCTTCTCCACTTCTCAAGTGGGCTGGGGAGCAAGGTTTCCTTTGGGGAACCCCCCCAAGCCCCCAGTGTGGTGGGCTAGCCTGGCTGTCCACTAAAGGGAACTTGGAGAAAGAAGTGGGCTTCTGAGACCTGTGGCTGCAGAAGCGAGGCAGGAAGTTACCTGCCAGAGAAAGGCGGGGAGGAGAAAAGGGCAGGGGCGATGGAGGACCCCCGCCCGGGAATAGCTAACCCGGCGGGCACCCGCCTGCCCATGCGGGCGGGCACGAAAAGTTACTGACAGTTGTCATCGGAGCCTCGGGTTGCCTCCCAAGCCTAGATTCCCGAGTCCAGCGGGCTCTGCCGCCGAAACATCCCCGGGAGAGGGGGTCCCCGTGCGCCCGACCCCCCCTCCAGGAGGAGACGCATCCCGGTCCCCGCGGGGCTCCGCGGAGGGTCCTGGGCGGAGGGGGCGGGGGGCGCCGAAGTTGGGAGCGGCCGCGTTTACTGACCGTCTGCGTCGAAGTGCTTCCAGATCTCCAGGAACTGGGAGGCCGTGAGCTCGGCCAGGTGCAGGTAGGGGGGCTGCTGCTGCGCGCCGGCCATGGCGAGCGCTCCGGGCGTCAGGCACTGGGCGCTGTCCCCGCGCGGGCAGGCGGCTGGGACTCCGGGCCCCGCGCGCCGCCGCCTTATATAGCGCCCGCGGCTGCGCCCCGCCGGCCGGCCGCCAGGGGGCGCGCGCGCACAGGCAATCGGCCGGGGAGGCGCCGCGCGGGAGCTGCGGCCCGGGGCCCCGACCCCCGCTCGCCCTGCAAGGCGCTGACGCTCTGGGCGGTGTGTGGGGGGTGGGGGCAGCCAGGAGTGACGCTGTTAACGGACAGCAATAATTAGCACCACCACCACCAACAACAACAGCAACAATAGCAACAGCAACAATAGCAGAGCGATAGGAACGACCCGAGGGATGCTTGCAGGCGTTTAAGCACCTGGAGGTGGGGAGTCACTAGCACCCCTGGTGCCTCTGACCCTTCCATAGCCGGGAGAACTGGGGGTCACTCTGCTGGTGAGGGGCCTGGATGCTCGGAGGCAGGCAGCTCTGGGAGGGACCTGGCGCTGAAGCCAACTCCCCCCCCCCCCCCCCCCTCGGGCTCTCCAGGACCCTTCCTAGGGTCTTGCAGGAAGAAGGCAGGGTTTACTGGTTGTGGGGCTGGAATCAGGGCTCAGCAGGGAAGAGTCAGATGGGAGCGGAGAAGGGGCGACCTCTGTCCCGTGGGTCACTGTCCTCACCAGGGCTACCCAATCCCCACCCAGCTCCCGAGCGGGCCAGGACAGGTGCTGGAGACTTTCAGACATGCTGGGAGCCAGCTAGCTCGGCTGAGGGTGGGGAGGGCGGGAGAGAGATTCTTAACACACCCACCTTGGGAACAGAGAAGAGCGACCCTTGACCCACAGATGTCAGCTCTGTTCCCGGGGTTGGGGAGGGGTTTGTCCCGGCTGTGCTGCCCAGGCCCTTAGCCTCCCCTCCTGCAGAGTGACCGAGAACTGAATTGCTCATTAGCACGTGCTAATGAGCGTTAGCTGCAGTGTGCGGAGAGCCAGAGCGAAGGAGGTAAGTGAGAATCAAAAGGAGGGCACCAGGGAAGGGGGGGGGGGCACACCCAGAGCGATGCCCAGGGAAGCTTCCAGAACCACTTGCTTCTCTTTTTGGTGTTCGCCCAGAGCAAACCGTGTTAGAGTTACTTGGCAGGGCTGAACAGAGGGGGTCCGAAGAAGGGAGCCTTTGGACCTGGATGACCCCACCCTACCGGGCACCGCCTTGCAATCAGAGGCCAGGCCTGGCTCCGAGAAAAAAATCTCCAGAGACTCTGGGTTGTGTGTGTGTGTGTGTGTGTGTGTGTGTGTGTGTGTGTGTTGGAGGGGGGTGTTGTTCCCTGGTGCTGCCTCTAAGGAACCACCCAGGGGCTGAGCCAGGGCCCTTGGAATCAGGCTTCTGGGTTTGAATCCAGGTGACACTGGGTGACCTTGGGTGAGTTACATAACCTTGTGGAGTGTCATTTCTTTTATTCATGTTTTTCACCTGCAACATGGGAGTGCCAGGCTCTCAGGCTTGTTTTGAGGATGGGATGGCTCGGTGCTCCCACTGTCCTTCGTGGACCTGCTGGCCAGTGCCGGCTGGTGTGGTAGGACAGTTCCTGATGTCGCTGGGGAGTTCCTGGAGGACTGAGCATAGAGGGACACCCTCCACACACACACCGCCAGCGGCAACATGCAGGGCTCGTGGCCGGGGGTGGCCCAGGCCCTCCAGCAGGCTCAGCCAAGTCTCTCTGGCTGGCATGGGCTGCCCTGCCCACCTCCTGCCCCCCTCTCCTGGCTCAGCCGTGCCCGGGTCGCTGTGGTCTCGGGTGAGCAAGAGCTCGGCTCTTCCTGCTTTTGTCTTTCCTGGGGTGTTGCAGCAGTGAGGAGGCTGCGGTGTGGTGCTGGCAGGGCTGGAGGACCTGGCAGCTCGGGGGTCACTGCTGCAGGAGCCCTGCACTGTCCACTTCAGGGACAGGGCAGGGCTGCTGGGGGAGGGCGCAGGGTGCCCGGAACCCAAGTCTGTCCTGCAGAAGCATCTGTGTCTCAGAGCCCAGTGCTCCTAAAAGTGCTTGCTCTGGGTCAGACAGGGATGTGGGCGCGGCACAGCAAAGCCATGGCTGGCTATGGGGTCTTGACAAATTCTCACTTCTTTGAACTTGTGCGGAGTTGGGGGTCGAATTTCTTTCTTCTTATTTTTAAAAAAATTTTTAATTAAATTTACTAAGTTACTGATAATTACGTTTTTGGCATACAATAATTCAGCACCACTCTTTCCACCAGTTCCCACATTCCCTCCTCATCCCTACCCTCACTCCATGCCTGTCTGTCAACTGGACAGGGGCGTTACAAAGTCTCAGTGGTCGCAGCTTAGATCTCCTGTTCTGTTGAGTCTGTGTTTGGGGTGTACAGCTATACCCCTCCCTCATATCACTGGTAAAAACTGAAGCCCCGGTGCCTGTTCACTCATACTTTCTTGTTCTCCTGTCCCTTCCTTGATTTCTTTCCTTCTCTGTCTCCTCCCTAAACACTGGAGGCGAGGGTGACCCAAGCATCGCCCTTTTACTCCAATGCATTTCCCCACCCTGTATTCTATATTGCACAGTTAAGCGAGATCATCCATGTTTGTCTTTCTTCCAGTTGCAACCACATTGCAATAAATTGCATGATTTCATGGTTCCTTGCAGCTGCACAGTATTGCACTGTCTGTCTATGTACAGCATCTTCATAATCCGTTCATCTGTTGTTGGACACCCAGGTTGATTCCATATCTTGGCTATTGTACTGAGCGCAGCAATGAATACTGGTGTGCATGTGTCCTTTTGAGAGAGTTTTTTTCATGTCCTGGGGATAGATGCCCCAAAGTGGAGTTGCCGGGTCATCTGGCAGTTCAATTCTCAGTTTACTGAGAACTCTTCGTACTGTTTCCCACGGGGGTTGTTCCAGACAACATTCAGAGGTGGGATTTTAGAGCATCCCAGATCCAGGGCACAGGCAGAAATTCAAGCCGTCCGGAGCTTTGAGGAGCTCCAGACAGCGCTTCGTTATCCCTAAGGGACCTTCGGAGGAGCTTGCTGAGTTCCGAAGCAGCAGGAAAGGGGCTCAGCACCCCCCTCCCAAAGTGACTCCTCAGAAGCCAGCTGCCTCCTGTGTGGGGGCTCCCTGAGCTTGCCCACCCCCATGTCCATCAAGGTGGGGGCCTGCGAGGGGTCTGCATGGGGGGATGGCGTGGAGCCTTTGCCTTTGGGGAGGGCAGTGTTTATGGCTCTGTTGGGGACCCTTGTAACCCCCCCAGGTTCTGGGGCATCTGTAGTAGGGGCCACCAATTCCTGAGACGAATTCTAGACTGGGAGTCCCATGTGAAGACAGAGCTGCTGCCTCTTCCTGCTCTTGAGTTCTCTGAAGGCCAGGAAAAGGGGGGGCCGCCCACTGGGGGGCTCGCCAAGCCTGGCATGCAGGGCTTTTCTTTGTTTAATTTAGTTTTGAGTTTGCACCTGGTAAGCTCAGGGCTTACTCCTGGCTCTGTGCTCGGGGATCATTCCCCGAAGGACTGGAGGGACCTTACGTGGTTTCCAAGGATTCTGGAGTTGCCAAGTCAGATGCTGGTGGATCCTGACCCTCAGTGTTGAAGAAGGTTGGGGCAGAGCTGAAAATCACCTCAAGAAAGCTTCCTTCCATAATCCAAGGACCCCGACTCCCAAGGCGTCCCAGCCAGCCCAGGCCTCGCTGCCCTGGGCCCCAGCCTGGCCCCAACCTCCAGGAACCCTGAGTCGCTGAATCTCAAATGTCTGAACCTGAGCATAAGAAGCTCATGGGGCCATCAGGGCCTCGGGGAGGGCTGGGAAACATCCGACAAGGCCTTAGCCTAGGAAGGGGACTCGGACGCGCCTCTGGGCAGGATTCCGGGGCTCCAAGGGCAGGGCTTCTCTCCTGCCTAAGGTGATGATGATTTTATTGTTGTCGTTGTTATTATTATTATTATTATTATTATTGCTACTGTGTGACCTATCTAGAGGTCTTTAACTTTGTGCTTCTTTAGGGCTTTGCGACTCAGCTGATCAGTACCACAGGTGGGTCTGTTTCTTTCTGCTTACTTATTTTGATTATTTTCAGTGCTGGGCCTTTCTCCCACAGCAAGGCAAGTGCTCCACCACTGCTCAGCCCCGGCACATTAACCCCATTGATTTTATGTATTTTTTTGTTTGGTTTTTTTTTGTGTGGGGGTCATACCCGGTGATGCTCAGGGGCTACTCTTGGCCTTGCACTCATGGACCACTTTCGGCGGAGCTCTGGGAGGGCCATATGGGATGCTGGGCATGGAACCCGGGTTGGCCTAATGCAAGGGAAGTGCCCTACCTGCTGTACTATTGCTCCGGCCTCTATATAGTACATTTTAAAGTCAAAGACCAAACACAGAAATGAGCAGCTGGCAGGGCTGTGGCACGACGGACGATGGACCTCATAGACTAGGCCCCAGGGAGCCTCTTTCAAAATTGGTCCCAGATCCTGGCCATGAGCTCCAGGGCTGGTCTCCCACCTCAAGCAGGGAGTGGCAGGATGTGGCACCACTAGCTTTCTGGGGCACTGCCCACAGCAGGGAGAGACGCTGTGCCCACTGGTGTCCAGAAGGCCAGCAGGACGCTCCATCCTCCCTTCTGACACCTTCCTCCTGTTTGCCCTGCACTGAGCCTGCCAGCTGCTTCTCAATCCCAGGGGCTGCAGAGAAGATTCGCGGGACTAGCCCTCTGCCTCGGGCTCTGGGCACTGGGGCATCTCTGGCCCTGGGAGGGAGGGAGCACCCGGTGTGCTGGGGGAGGCAGGAGGGCAGCCACGGGGCCCGGGGCACAGGCACACAGAGCTCCGAGGGCACCTGCTGCCGCTCCACAGAACTTCAAAGGCAGAATCTCTGCCCGGGAAGATTCCTTCCAGACAACGCTTCTTCGGTCTTTGCCATGGCCAGGCCTGGCTCCCGGGGTGCCCGAGAGCTGGCTGGCTTTGCTTCCCAGAAAGGAGGATGAAAGGGATGCGGGAGCCCAGCAGTTTCCATGGAAACGGATCAGGTGGAAGGAGGCGAGTCCAGAGGAAGCCAGAGGTGGGAGCAGGACTTTTGGGTAAACGCCGC